GGTTGGTCTCAAACTCCTGACGTCATAATCTCCCGCCTCGGCCTCCCAAAGTGCTGGGATTACAGGCATGAGCCAGTGCGCCGGGCCTTGGCCCCCATGAGATTTTAACATAATTCCTTCAAAGATGGCCTGAGGGGCTGAGTAAAGGCTGTACAGGAAGTTTAGGGTTTTCCTTTTCTTTTTTTTTTTTTTTTATGTCTTTGGGCAGGACTCTGCATGTGGGATAAACCAACCAACGTTACTGCCCCAACAGACATTTTTGAGTTCTACTGTGACCTTTGTCAGAAAACTGACGCTCACAACAGGCCTGCAAGTATGAACTTGTTATCCCTGCTTCACAGATAAAGGGGCTGCCTCACAGGAGGATTCACTGATGCAGCCAGGATCGCATCACCAGCTCAGAGAGGTCAGTGAGGGAAACCCCACTCTCTCTGACTCCAAGTCCACTCTGCCGGGGGCTGCCTGGGGGACAGGAAAGAGGTCCTGCCTTTTTTTTTTTTTTTTTTTTTTTTGAGACAGAGTCTTGCTCTGTTGCCCAAGCTGGAATGAAGTGGCATGATCTCAGCTCACTGCAACCTCCACCTCCCAGGATCAAGCAATCCTCCTGCCTCAGCCTCCCAAGTAGCTGGGATTACAAGCATGCACCACCATGCCTGGCTGATTTTTGTATTTTTAGTAAACATGGGGTTTCATCATGTTGGTCAGCCTGGTGTCAAACTCCTGACCTCAAGTTATCCGTCCACCTTGGCCTCCCAAAGTGCTGGGATTACAGGCGTGAGCCACTGTGCTGGGCCAGCTTATTCTGAGTGAGTTATTTAGCTCTCCTCTTTGCCATAGTCACAAACACTACTCTGCACCTTGGTCCATCCTGTCACAATGGGCACTAGCAATAGTTAGGATGAACTAGTTAACTAGTTACACCATGAAACAAGTCTCATTCATATGACACACCCAAAGCAGATTGGCTAGGAGGCTCTACTAATCCTAGTCACTCAGGGACTCAGGCAGACAGAGACTCCACCACCTCATTATTAGATCTTAAGTTAACATCACAGTACAATGCTTCAGGATCCACCATCGCACAGAAAGAGGGCATGAAAAGTTACAATATGGCTCTTAAATGTGCTTGCCCAGAAGTGACATAAATCCTCTTAACTTTCTTTTCTTTTTTTTTTTTTTTTTGAGACAGAGTCTTGTCTTGCTCTGTCACCCAGGCTGGAGTAGTGCAGTGGCATGATCTTGACTCACTGCAACCTCCACCTCCTGAGTTCAAGTGATTCTCGTGCCTCAGCCTCCCGAGTCACTGGGACTACAAGCACGCACCACCACACTCGGCTAAGTTTTGTTTTTTTAGTAGAGATAGGGTTTCGCCATGTTGGCCAGGCTGGTCTTGAACTCCTGGCCTCAAGTGATCTGCCCACCTAGGCCTCCCAAAGCGCTGGGATTACAGGCCCCCCTCACCTTTCACTGGCCAAGGTGAGTCATATGGCCACACCTGACTTAAAGCCAGCCCTCCCATATGCCTGGAGGAAGAAGTGAACCAGAAATCTTAGAGAGCTGCAGTCATGTCTACAACAGTACTCTTGATCACAAGGAGGAAGGAGCACTGAGTTGAGAGTCACACGGCCTTTATCCTAAAACTGGCTGTGCCGCTGTATAAACTCCATGGCCTTGTCCTCTCTCTTAACCCCGTGGCTCCTGCATCCTGCTCTGCTAATGATGGCTTGAGATAGATGGTTACCTCTCCGATTCTGCACCAGAACAAATCTATTACCTTTGCTAGATTTCAGGTCCCACATGCTTGGAAGCAGGTCTGTGAGGTCATCTCCAATGAAAGCCAACAGCGCAGAGAGGATGATGCGGGTCCTCGTGGAAACAGACTCCTTTGTACACGTGATAAGGAAGCTGGCTAGAGTCCACCAGTTCTGAGTTTTGAGATAGTCCACACCAGCACGATGAATGTGTCAAAGATTCCATGTCACACAATAGACTTTGTTAACTCGCTTTGACAAAGGCATTTTACTTTTAACTGCTTGTGACAGCAGCTCACAGTTTACTCGTAAATGTGCCTCCCATACAGGTGTTTCCCACTTCATATAATAGATATGTTCCTTTAAAAAAAACAGGGTGGAAATTTTAAAACCAGAAAATCACTGCTTGAGTTTATGCAGAATCACATTAGTTACAGGAATCCAATGACAAAAGTTTTTCAGAAAGGATGAAAAGATCATTGTCGTTTTACTTTTCCTCTTAAGTCGTTGCTTCTGATAATACCGAGAGTTATCTGGCACAGTACACAAAGCACAGTAAAGGCATTCAATGATATTTGTGAATGAATGGATAAAACTCAGTTTTCTAACTGTGATTGAGCTGCATTTTCATAGAATGATACTTATATCTGTATCACACTTTCTAGTTAACAAGCCTCATATTTACAGGAGAAGAAGGAGCATAAACTTTGGTGTCAGACTGGCGTTCTCATTGTGGGTCTGTTTCTTAGCAGCTGTGAGCTTAGACACATTACTTCACCTCCTGGAGCATCCATCATTTTATTTGTAAAATATGAGTGATGCTAGCTTCTCAGGATTGTTGAAAGAGTGTGATGAGAGCCTTATGGGTTTTTTCTTTTCTTTTTTTTTTCTTTTTAGAAATGGCATCCCGCTTTGTTGCCCAGGCTGATCTCAAACTCCTGACTTCAGACGATCCTCCTGTCTCAGCCTCCCAAAGTGCTAGGATTTCAGGCATGAGCCACTGCACCCTGCCCGGAGCCTTACGTTAACATGTCTATTATAGGACCTGACATGAAGAAGAGACTTAATAAAAGATGATTGTCCTTCCCTTTTCTATGAAGCAGGAAGGGGAGCTATTATTATATTCATTGTACAGAAGAGAAAGCTGAGGCTCAGGGAGATAAAGTGGCTTGCCCAAAGTCTCACAAATACAGGATTGGAGCCCCAACTTGTGCCTAGCTCTTTAACACGCTACCTCACCAGCCCACACAGGAAGGCAATGACTGTGCACTGCAGATATTTGTACAGGATGAGTATATTATATGACTTAGGGCTGACACAACTTGTCTTGCACATATTGTTTTATGTAACTTTACTCTGCTTTCTGCCTGTGCTGACCATGTCCCGAGAACTGGAGTCAGGCCTTGTGCCCTTGCAGAATCTGCCTCTGCAGCTCAGTGGTAGTTGCTCAGCAAGTGCTGATCCACTAGCCCATTTCCTTCCTTCCTTCCTTCTTTCCTTCCTTCCTTCTTTCCTTCTTTCCTTCCTTCCTCCCTCCCTTCCTTCTTTCCTTCCTTCCTTCCTTCCTTCTTTCCTTCTTTCCTTCCTTCCTTCCCTCTTTCCTTCCTTCCTTCCTTCCTCCCTCTCTCCCTCCCTTCTTTCTTTCCTTCCTCCCTCCCTCTCTCCCTCCCTGCTTTTCTTTCTTTCTTTCTTTCTTTCTTCTTTCTTTCTTTTTTTTTTTTTGACAGAATCTCACTCTGTGGCCCAGGTTGGAGTGCAATGGTGAGACCTCAGCTCATTGCAACCTCTGCCTCCCGGGTTCAAGCGATTCTCCTGCCTCAGCCTCCTAAGTAGCTGAGATTACAGGTGCACGCCACCATGCTCAGCTAATTTTTGTATTTTCAGTAGAGGCATAGAGGTGAAATTTCATCATGTTGGCCAGGCTGGTCTCGAACTCCTGATCTCATGACCCACCCGCTTCAGCCTCCCAAAGTGCTGGGATTACAGATGTGAGCCACCTTGCCCTGCCGCCCATTTTCAAGTTCTTGCAAATCTGTCCACCCAGAGAGGACATAGTAGCACATTTAATAATTAAGAGAAAACTTGGTTTTCAGGAACTTTATCATCTGAGTTTGATAATTACAAAGGGTATAAGAATTCATTTTATGGTATGGTAGGAAAAGAATAACACTACCTCAAATGCTCAGATGATTAATTAAGTGTTCTTATTTGTAGGGACAGCCTCCTATTTTTCTCTCATGTGATGTCCAGCAGGCGGTTCTGACCTGACTAGTACACATTCTTTAACAGCTAGAGACAGAGCACTGCTAGGCGGCAGACACAGACCTACGCCCCAGGCCGTAATGGTGAGACAGGCATAATCCCTGCTCATGGAACCTATGGGGACAAGGCAGTCAACAGTTAAATACACACAATATTTATAATTTACAATAAATTAAACAAAGGAAAAGACGAGGAACTAAGAGACAGCCTAATTGGAGAATCTCATTTAGATTGGGAGGCTGGGGAAAGTCTCCATGAAGAAGTGTTATCTACACTGAAACCTGAGAAAAATCGGTAGAAGTCAGGCCAAAAGTGGGAGAAGGAGCATGTCAGACAGAGGGATCAAACTTGTGGAGGCCCCGTGGTGGGAGAGAGCGTAGAATTGAAATGATGTTAGGGGCCACCGCAGGGAAACTGGAGACACATAAGTGATGGGAGCTCGGCCAGGACCAACTTCCCATAGGCATTCCATTTGCAATTGCAATTTATAAGTTTTTGGCAGACAAATCATATGGTCGAACTTAGGTCCTAACACATCTCTCTACTGCTAAATAGAAGAATGGGTGCCACTTAAGAACGGATTCAGTGTAACGAGGGCAAAAGTAGAAGTGAGGAGACCAGCTGTGAGGCTATTGCAGTGGTCCTGGTGTAGGATGCAGGTGACTTGGACTTAGGTGGTGGCAGCAAATTGAGAGACCTGAGTGAAACTGTGAGATGTTTTAGGAGTAGAATTGATAGGACGTGCGGATCAAGTGTATATACAGAGTGAGAAAGGGAAACGGGACTCTCATGTTTCAGGGTGTCTGAATTGGTTTACTGATATTTGGGGGGATCAGAAGAGTTCAGGTCCGGCCAGTTTGCAATTGAGTTGCGTCTGAGGCATCCAATAGGAGGACATCATTGGATACAGGAGTTAGGAGCTTAGATACACACTTGGGAGAACTCGGCACAGGTGGTATGAAAGTGGTGGGCTGGTGAGATTGCCTAGGGAGAGAAAACACGGAGAGGAGTCCCAGGGCTGAGCCCAGACCTCTGAACAGAAGATGGAGTCATGGAGAAACCCAGAAGAGTGAGGTGTCACAGGCAAAGAAAAATTGGATGCTTGGGAAGGAGAGGGGTCTGTCTCACGAAGAGAGATAAAAGCAGCTGGGACCACATGGAGGTAATTGTTGATGCTAATGAGAGCAGAGGGCAGGGAGTGGAAATGGAAGGGAGCCACTGAGCTGAGAATGGAATACAGGAAAGAAACAGCGTTCTGTGGTCAGCCTGGTGAGAAACGTGGCTCTCAGAGAGCACAGAGAGAACAGCTAGGGGAGCGCATGGGCACGGGGGGGTGTCTGACTGGTTGTGTTTACTGTTGGAAAATATCAGAGCTCCTCTGTGTGTTAGGGAAGGGTCAAGTAGAGAGGGCAAGGGAGAAGATGCTGGAGTGAGGAGAGCCAAGGCCCTGAGGCCACTGATCTTGACACTACCCAGGACCTGCAGCCCAGACACTTTCTAAGCAAGCCTCTTGCCTGGGGAATAAAGAGTTGAATTTTCCAGTGACTTCATGGGCACTGGGGTCCTATGGCGCCTCTAAGGGGAAGCGGCAAGAGAAACAGATGTTCTTTCTTCACTGTAGAGGGAGGAAGAGGGAAGAAAAAGATGAAAAAGGGAAGAGAGCAGGAAGGAAGGAGAAAGTAGAAAACAAAGACGGCCAGTTTTCTCCCCTCCTCAGGTGGTCGGGATAACAGTGAGGCTGAATCCCAGATGATATGGGGGTGCTGCAGCCTCTCAGGAGGGCCATCTCCTCCAGGAAAAGCCTAAGACTTACCCAGACTTAGGAGGTTGTCATCAAGCCTTGTCTTTCCAGCAGACCTCAAAGTCTTGTCAGTCCAGAGAAACTTCAAGGGCAGCAGCCAGAATCCTAGGGCTGAGAAACCTGACTTTCCTCTCTTTGTACCTCCCAATTCCCCACCTAGTTCCTGAGTCACAGAGGATTGTGTGATTTCAATGAGCTATGGCAAGAGCATTTTCCCTTCCCATCAACTCAGTCGTGTTTCCTGTAGTGGAGATGTGAGCATGGGGAGGGAGGAGCGGGAGAAAGAAGGCTTGCCCTGGCAGTATTCATTCACTCTCTGAGGCATGATATTTGATTACCAGTCTTTTTAACATGCATGACAGTAAATGCTAATATTTGCCACAGAATTATCTAGCCCTCTTTTAAATCCATCTACAGTGTTAGGCTCTTTGACCCCTAGAGGTAGGGAATGCCACAGGCTGACTTCATGCTACTGAATGTTGTTGCTTCCTCTATAGCAATAAAGCTTTGCTTGAAATATAAAGCATAAGAACAAAGAAAATTCCAGATTTTTGGGAGTAAATACTACAGTTCATTAAAGCACCTGCTTACTTCATACAACAAGCTAGCAATGACTCTCCAGTCTCCCACGTAAAACTCCAGTTAGTCTTCTGTGCATGAGATGTCTTTTCTATTGTGATTGCCATTCTTGGCTCATTGTTCTAAAGGAGATATTACAAATAAAAACAACAACCATCCCTGGTTAATATGCTTATTAATTTACACATCTTTCTCAACTTTTTCCAAACTTACTGGTAGACTAGAAAGAAATCTAACTTCTTTTAGGCTTGAGTTCCATTGTCTAAAGGTATGACCATTTTCTTTCTTTCTTCTTTTTTCTTTTCTTTTCTTTTTTTTCAGATGAAGTTTTGCTCTTTTTGCCCAGGCTACAGTGCAGTGGTGCAATCTCAGCTCACTGCAACCTCTGCCTTCCAGTTTCAAGTGATTCTCCTTCCTCAGCCTCCCGAGGAGCTGGGATTACAGGCACCTGCCACCAAGCCCGGCTAATTTTTGTATGTTTAGTAGAGACGGGGTTTCACCGTGTTGGCCAGGCTGGTCTCAAACTCTTGACCTCGTGATCTGCCCACCTCGCCCTCCCAAGGTGCTGGCATTACAGGCGTGAGCCACTGCGCCCGGCCAGGCATGACCATTTTCTAACGTTTAGGACGCAGGGAGCTTGGGGTCAGTATCTAAAACTGTCGGCCGGAGAAGGGGCAATCTTGAAGTTCAAAAACAGGAGGCACCCCAGATCTCCTTCTCCAGAGCTTTAACATCCCACCTCTCACTGCTTCTTGTAATATCCATTAGAGTTGTAAAAACCATTATCCAGTATAATATCTTTTAAATTGTTATCAAGGAGTCACTTTAGAAGAGTGGGCTCCCTCTGCTCCCTTCCTGCCCCCTCCCAGATGGACCGGTGCTGTTTGTTAGGACGGCTTTGTTCCTCGTTGTTCAACTACACCTGGCATAGTGCTTTGCTCTGTCATAAGGCCATTTCAAAACACCCTCTCTTTGTAACATAAGCTTTGCTCGTGCTGAAACCTTGCCTTTCATTTGCTCTCCACAGCACTTGTCACACTGTATAATATAACCTAGACAATAGCGGCATACAAAGAAATAACAACTGAACATAACCATCCACTATGGAACCACTAATGAGTGCTCTACCTTTTGAAGGCTTCTCACAAACTAATGTGTAGACAAGGATAAAGGGCAAGGCTGCAGGAAAAGTCAATAGAACCTCACAATGTGAAGACTTAACCTCTGTCACTATCAACTCAGATTTTCGAGTTGTATCAACAGCCAGAACCTTCTCTAGAAGCAAGTGCCACATCAGAGCCTGGCAAAAAAAAAAAAAAAAAAAAAGAAGAAGAAGAAGAAAAAAAAAGAAAATTGCTTTTTCTTCATGCTGAGTGAAGATATAAACTTATACGTCATAGTTCATATTGAAGGTTGTTTCACATTTTCTAAATACTAAGAAGACATTAAAATCAGTATAGTCACATGAAATCAGCTCAGTTTCATAAATGTGTAATGAAAAGAATCAATTTTGTTGTAACCATTTTTAAAAATTACACAAAGATAATATCTATGGTTTATGCTATTTCTGCCACTTTGATTAGTATTTTTATTTCTTGGTATATTAGGTTAATGTTTAAGATCCATTCTGTGTTTCAGCTTATGAAATTAATGTCTAAGTGCCAGCATGAGGCAAAGCAAACCTTACATTGGAGTCTCCCTTGCTTCCAGTGACTGTAATCAACATATCCAGTCATTCACACAACACTTCTCAAATGTCAAAATAATGGCGTTTGTTCTTCTAATGTTTGTTGAGGGCTTACTATACCAGGCATTGCCCTAAATGCTTTGATGCACTAGTTTTATCCTCATGATAACTTCATGAAGTAGTAAATATTAGTAGCCCCCGATGGTTAGATGAGGGAACCAAGCTCGGAGATGGTAAGCAAGTTGTCCAAGGTTGTAGCATGATATTGCCTTCAGAGCCCAGGCTCATCTTGACTGATCCCCAGCACTGCCTCCATGACAGATCTGTGCTGGAATGGAGGAATAACCTGAGAAATTACTGGTGACACATGGAGAATATTGAAATTACATGGCTAAAGAGGTTGATAGTTACAAATAATTGCAAAGCCAGATTTGTAGACAAATTTCCCAGTTCTGCCTACTGAATGTCTGTGTTCCTAGCAGGTTCTCCTCCTGGAGACAAAATGCACTCCTCTCTCCACATATCCCTAATGTGGTTATTGAAGGCCTCAACATACTCACAGGACCCAACACCTCACTTCCTGCCCTGGCTACAGGATTTGGGGCCAGGGACGAGCACCTTGACTATTTCATTTAGCAAATATTTAGCTGTTGGTGTGAGGGACAGCCAAGGGAGCAGCAAGAGATGCTGCTGAGGGGGCTTGGCTGGGGTTGCGAGACCCTAAAGGGCCTATAATTCAGTTTTACCAATTTCACATCTTTAACCCAGGGCCAGGCATGAACGCAAAACTCGAAATTTATATTCAACTTTCTAGTATGATTTCATAAAGCAAAACAAAACCGAAGCAAAAAATCTCATTTAAGAACATATAAGAAATTTTCTTATATGCAAAGTATCTTGAAGTAGAATATTAACTAGAACAGAAGTTTTTTTGGTAGTTTTTTTTTTTTTTTCTTTTTTTTTATGGAGTCACACTCTGTCATCCAGGCTGGAGTGCACTAGCGCGATCTCAGTTCATGGCAACCCCCGCCTCCCGGATTCACACCATTCTCCTGTCTCAGCTTCCCGAGTAGCTAGGACTACAGGGGCACACCACCATCCCTGGCTAATTTTTAGTACAGACGGGGTTTGGCCACTTTGGCCAGGCTGGTCTTGAACTCCTAACCTCAGGTGATCCACCTGCCTTGGCTTCCCAAACTGCTGGTATTACAGGTGTGAGCCACTGTGCCCAGCCAATTAACTAGAACAGAAATTTTATTACCTTCTATGAATATGCCTCTTTTTACTGTAAGGCAAATTCATAGCTTTGCTGCAAGTTCAGAACAAAATTTTGTAGAAAGGGCTCCTGATAGCTAGCTATCAATCCCTCTTTTGAAAATGCTTCACAGGGTCTTCTTCTATATCCCCTGGCTGCCAACGATTAGACAAGTGAGGGCTTCTTGGGCAGTGAAGGGCTATGCATTGAGGTACCTAGAACTATCCATACACTATTCATTTAGTAACATTAGTTCTGCTGGGAGAGATCCAGAGAAAAGCAAGGACCTGGTTCCTGCCTACAGGCAGTAGATGGGAACACAAGGTAGGCTTTTGTGGCCTAACTAGAGAACAATTCCAAAACAACATATATGATTAAGAGTGTTTGGTTCTGGCTTTTAGTGGATTCAGGGTTAGAGGAGTACTTTAGGCATGAAAGTTGCTTAAAGACAGGGATATAATTTTTGGATGATTATACTAAATATCTATCTTTAGCAAGAAAGCTGAGTAATTTTACTTCCTACATTTGGGAAGAGTGTGGACAGGGTGAATTGGCTCTTTGTAAATCAGCTAAGGGCACTGGGAATGATTTACCATGTACTCAAGGCAAGCTCATTTCCCCTCTGGGCCTCAGTTTCCTCATTGGTAAAAGATGGGTTTCAACTGGAAAATTTTGTGGGTTTCGCCACCTCTGCCATCCTGAGGACAGGTGCTCTGGCTGTGTCTCCATGCACAGCAGTAGGCCAGGTCTGCAAACTGGCCCCGTTTTTGGAAGAATCTACTCTGCAGAAGAGGGTGTACACTGACTACGCCCTGACAGGCAAGTGATAAGGACATTTTT